TATGCAGTGGCCCAAAGGGCCTGTCTTTTGAACATGCTTCCATTGGTAGAAAGCTCTTCTGGAAGATTGCTTAGATTGTGCAAAGGATGTCCTGTTATTCATTTATTAAATATTATAATTTAATGATACTATGTCACGGGAGTGTTTTGTAGCTTTTCTTGTTGCTGTGCCCAGAAGTGAAGGAAGTGCCCGTTTCTTCCGGTTCTGTGGGAGGCCCAGAACAGCAGAGGAATAACCCCCCACCCTCTGCAGCTTTCTGGGCAAGGTATTTCAGAAGCTCTGCCTGCTTCTTCTTGGGCTTGAGAAGGAGGGGCTGCCCAGGGCCCCCCAGTGGGCTCTGAGCTCAGACATAGAACAGAACAGAACTGGAAGGACCTTGGAGGTCTTCTAGTCCAGCCCCCTGCTCAAGCAGGAGGACCTACACCATCTCAGACAAGTGACTGTCCAGTCTCTTCTGTGTGGTAATAATTGATGTCAGCCCAACATTTGGAATAATTCTTGCATTATAGATTATTTTGAACAATGTTTGTTCAATCCCAGTTTTGTCCATTAGTTTTAATAATTCTGCAGAGATGCCATGAGTTCCCAGCATTCTTTGATTGTTCTGCACTTTAAAGTTCTGCTTATTTTATTTATGTTTTTCATTTGACAGTGTTTTTGTACTAGCTCTAAAACTTTGTCTTGCATCGATTTCAGTTTGAGTTTTTTCTGCTGGTAACTTATATCAGTGATTCATTAACCATTTTCGGGCTTTCATTCATATCATTCTCCCTTATAATTTTTTTCTTCCTACTGATTTTCCACAAGTTCAGGCTCAGCTCTTTTCCCCAGATCAACCAAATGTTGATTTATTGGTTGCGTCAGAAATTGACCTCTTTGTCGCCTGAGTTTGACATTCTGGGCTGAGAGAGAGAGCAACTGACCCAAAGTCACCCAGCTGTCATGCCAAGGCAGGACACAGTCTCCTGGTTTCTACTTGGTGCCTTAACCATTAGACTAAATTGTGTCTCATCAAATACATCATTATTATTTCTATATTCTTTCATTGATTGTATCAGATTGCTGGGTGCTCTCCAATATATTTCCCTTATTCCCAGGACATCCATTTTTCCATCTGTCTTGCCTGTCTCTAAAAACTGCCCTGCAGTGTCAGGACTGACTGGGGGATTCTTTGCCCCCTTGGACCTTCTAAGACCCTTTGATTAAAGGTTTTCAGCTCTTCATGGCTTCCAGGGTCTGCCTGACCTTCTGCACTCCTGATCCAGAGTCATACAAACCCATGTCACAGTCCAGACTCTATTAGAGATGAATGGCTAATAAATAGATACAGATTAACAGAGTTGGAAGGGACCTCGTAGGTCATCTAGTCCAACCCCCCGCCCAAGCAGGAGACCCTACATCAGTGATGGCTAACCTTTTTGCTGTTGCATGCCAAAAGCAGGGGGAGCACGGGGGGGAGTGTGCATGTGTGCCCATACCCATAATTCAATGTGCCCCCCCCCCCACGCATGCCCGCACGCCCCTCCCGCTTTTGGCATGCGATGGCATGGTGAGCCTGGTAGACCAGTTTTTCACCCTCCCCGGGCTCCAGAGGCTTTCTAGGAGCCTGTGGAGGGCAAAAATGGGCTTTGCCCACCCCCACCCCCTGGAGGCCCTCCAGAGGCTGGAAACAGCCCGTTTGCCGACTTCCAGTGGGCCTGGAAGGCCCGAAAATCAGATGTGCGCACCGGAGCTGAGCTAGGGTAACACTCGCGTGCCCACCAATATGGCTACGTGTGCCACCTGTGACATGCGTGCCATAGGTTCGCCATCACAGCCCTACACCAATTCTGACAGATGGCAATCCAATCTCTTCTTGAAAGTTTCCAATGATGAAGCTCCCACAACTTCTGAAGGCAACTTCTGTTCCATGGGTTGATTGCTCTCACCGTCAGAAAATTTCTCCTTATTTCCAGTTTGAATCTTGATCAGTTTCCATCCATTATTTCTTATCTGGCCTTCAGGTGCTTTGGAGAATAGCATGATCCCCTCCTCTCTGTGGCAGCCTCAGTTATTGGAACATTGCTATCCTGTCTCCCCTGGTCCTTCTCTTCACTAGACTAGCCATGCCCAGTTCCTGCAAATGTTCATCGTATGAATTCAAATAAATTCAAATAAACAATTAAAATATCATCCCTCCCATGTATCTGCTGCTACAAACCTTTCAGGATAGGAAACAAAATTCAGTTTTTTATAATCAGTGTTAAATATTTGGAGCAGGAGTGGACAATATGGGGCCAGCATACTGGAATCACAGCTACAGCTTCTAGTACCATACTTTTGACCGGGCGTGGGTGGATGGGGGCTACAGAAAGGCTGCTTGAGGGACGGCAGTTTGTCTTCTGGAAAATGGGTGTTTTGTTATGCTTGCATCATGGCAGCCATTTTATTAATGCATCAATAATATTCCAGGGATGCCTGTCTGACCCAAAAATCTGTATTGTATGTTTAAGAATGATTCCCATCAGAGAAATCGGCCGCCCCCCACCCTTGAGAAATCTGTTTGGAGATGAAAGTGAAATAGGAAGAGCCTGGTGGGGGAGGTTCCTGCAGAGGCCCCCCAGCTGCCCCACAGTTAGACTCCCAAGAAACCAAAGGGGAGGGCAGCAAGATCCCTAGCAGTTTTCCTCCCCAGGGATGGATTCTCAAGACAGCCAGTGAGGCTATCCTGAGGGGTGGCTGCGCAATCCCGACTCCTCTTGCACCTGTTTCTGGAGGCCACGGATGCATCCTTTGCTCTCAAGGGGGCCCTTCCAATATTGAAGGGTGTATAGAATCCTTCCTTCCTTCCTTCCTTCCTCCCTCCCTCCCTCCCTCCCTCCCTTCCCTCCTTCCTTTATCCTTCCTCCTTGCCTCCCTCCTTCCCTCCCTCCTTTAACCTTCCTCCCTCCCTTCCTTCCTGGATCTCCTCTGACCTGCTGCTCCCAAACCCCAGAGGGGGGGGGATTCTGAATGTAGGGAGATCCTGCTGGAGAAGCAACTAGAGGAAGAACTTGGGGGGAGAGTTAGAGCGACCAGGATGGGCAACACACTTAATGGCTCGGCCAGCAAATGCCGGCAGACAGGAGGCCCAGTGGAACCCAGGAGAAGCGGGTAGCCCTGTTCACTGGCCACTTAACGGTCTCATGGCCCAAGAGCAGCCCTCATTTTCTTTCTGGAAGTTGTTAGGTACTTTGAAAAGGATGAGAGCGAAAATGCCACCGTGTTCACTCTGGGTATGAAGCGATTTCCTTGATAGGCTGGCTGGATGGCTCAGGGATGGTGACCCCCAACAGGGGCTGCTCTTTGGCTCTGAATGGGGCTCCACCGGGTCCCCCTTAGGCCAAGCCACAGCCTTGGAATATTTCATGCGTACTTGATGTCCTCACACGCTTTTCTGGCTCTATTAACTCTGGTGGCAGCTGCTGTGCGCTGAGCTTGGCCAGCCATGCGTGCCCAGGCCTCCAGCTGCCCTGAGAAGCTGCTAGGCAGGAAGTGGCTTCGGTGGCCAGGTGCCAAGTGTGGATCAGCCTCTGAATATTAATTCTCTCCCTGCATGTGGGGAAGAGGAAAGCATTTCCTCATGGATCCCATGGAGGCCACCTAGCTTTGAAATCCTTCCCTCCCTCCTTCCTCCCTTCCGTCTGATGAATGGAAACTCTTTTGAGAAGGAAACTAGATTCTCCCCTCCAATGCTTTAACAGTATGCCTGCTCTCCCCCTCCCCCATTATTCTGGGCTTCAATGTCTACAGTTATTCCTTCTGCCCATCTCTTCCATCCCTCTGGTTGAACCTCTCCCAGCAACTCCCCCTTTCACCTGGGGAGGGGGGCTGGAGTGGGTGAGAGTTGTGCCATTCCTTGAAGTCGGGGCAGTTGGATTTCCTTAAAAGAAACAAGGTGTCCCGTCCCCCCACTGCCCAGGATCAGGGTCATCTGAGCCCAGAGCTGTAGGACACACAACCCAGCCAGGGGGAGGGGAGGAGAAGGGGGAGCAGCCCCCCCTTGCTCCTCCTCTCTTCTTCGACCTTCTTGGAGGGAGACCTGCCCAACCAGGTGGGCTTCTCTGCTGGCATTTTTCCGTCTCTGGAAGGGAGTTTGGGAAATGGAGAAAAAGCAGGGGGAAGATTTATAAGACTCTGGTGGTACCTTCCAGATGTGAATAGAAGGCCATGATGACAAATCCTGGCTAAAGGTTAAGGAATGTGTCTCAGATGGACTTCAGCTCCCAGAGTCCCCCAGCCAGCATTCCAGGGAATTATGGGAATTGGTGTCCGATCTCCAAGGTTGAGAAACGCAGCTCTAGGCCATCCCTGTCCAGTTCCATCTTGTGTTTTCAGAGTTTCTACAGAGGTCCCTTCTTGGGCTGAATGGCCAGGTGCTCACAAATGTTGGCCTGTGGTCCATTGCCCTGCAGACACTAGCTAGGGAGAGTTTGGGGGCATTACCAACCAACTTCTGTGCAGTGCCATAGCGGTGGTGCTCTCATGTCACAATCGGGAGGCTGTGAGTTCGATCTTAGGTAGCGGCAGATATTTCTCTCTCTGGGCACAATGGGTAAATATCAGCTGCGAACTCTGCATTGGTGACAGGAAGGGCCAGTAAACACTCAGCTCCATTCAGTTGCCTCAACGCCACCCCAATGCAAGGGATTACGGGGTCATTAAAAGACCAACCAACTTCTGTGGTGAGGCAAGCCTGGTTCTCTGAGTGATGCTAATGATGGGGATTGTAGTCCAAGTTCAATGCCACTTTTCAGCCAGACATCTGCTGCATGTTAACTGGGGCTGGAGGCTGCCAGTATCTCGGTCATGGAGCTCAGGGCGTGAAGGCCGCCTCAGCCTCAGGCCAGGAGGCCATCCGGTGGTCATGTCCTTTGCAGGTGAAACGAAGTGTCTCAGGCCTCACCTCAGGTGTCTTTTGATAAAGAGCAAGTTGTAGATTCTGACCTTGAACTTTCTCTATTTTCTCTTTTTTCAATCAGGTCATCTCAGCCGTTTCCAGACTTTCTCACCACAGCATTGCTCAGAACAAGGGCATCAGGTAAGAACGCTGCCCTCTTATTCCACTTTGAGATTCCTTTTTAATGAAAAGCTACTTTTTTGCAACAAATAAATTAATGCTTTGCTTTAAATGGAGGCTTATTTGAGGATTGCAGTTGAATTATCCAAGCATGAAAATCATGAGTGGTGAAGCTGCTGGACTTAGGAGCAGGGAGGCCAAGGCTTCTGCCCTTTTTGGTCCCCCCCACCTCATCTCAGCCCTATACAGGAAATCAAAAAACATTTATGACCCAACCCATACTGGACCACCATGGAAAATTACAGGCCATTCCTTCATTGAATGGATCAGGATTCAAGATAACAAAATCATTAACATGTCATTATTTATAATTCAGTTAATGCATTTCATTTAAACAGATGATACAAAATCAATTTTCCATTGAATGCTTCAATTTCTTGGTGATCTATGACTTTCTTAACCCACAACTCCCATCTATTCACGTGGTTCCTCTGTCATGCTCTGTTTGGGATATCTGGTCTGCAAATGCCCAGATGTGCCCAGATGTTCACGAGGCAGCCCAGAGCACTCAGAGGTTCCTGCTCCCTTCTAAGGGCTTGTCTGCTGTTTTTGGCAGCTGTTAGTCCTGAGGGTGCAACTTTGCAAGCCTTGGCATAGATTCATTTCTACCCTAGCCGTGAATTGTGAGTGTAGGCAGGGCCAACGTCTGAACGAGGCCCCTGAGAATCAGGAGGAAGACTTGCTTAGCGAAATCTCAGGGGGCTGCAGAAATGCAAACACGTTAATGGGGAAAAGGTGAGAAAGAAAAAGAAATGCCTCCAAGCAGCCAGGCATCTGCGATGGGGAAGCAGCAGAGGGACTTCCTGGAAAGGGACTTGGTTGGCTGCCTTTGAGGAGGCGTTTATCGTAAGGGAGCGTGAAAGGAACTGAAGAATGAGGGGGGAGGGGGAGGGGGTTGGAACCCAAAGGCGGAAAGGCTGAAGCCAGGTGTGTTTGTGTCTTCTGGTCCTTGAAGAAGGGGTGGGTCATTCTCTGTAGCGCCTGAGAGGAGAACAAGAACCTGTCAGGTGGATGCCTTACCCGGGGAGAGCCCAACCTGAGGAGGTAGAGGCTCCTGTGCAAGGGCCCCAGCTGGCTCCTGGGGTGGTGGGGCTCCCTCGTTGGCGGGGGCGGCCTGAGGATTCCTGCCCAGGTGGACTGGGGGGCCCTTCCAACTCTATGAGTCAAGTCTGCTCTTGCAATAGAGGTGGAAAAAATATAAGGTTATGTTTCTAAAAAGGTTAAATCATGGACCAAAGTTTATTAAAACTGAGACATTTCGTTACTCATCCAAGTAACTTCTTCAGTCAAATTTTGGGTAGGCAGAGAGTCATTGGTGTGAACAACTTGCCATACGGACTGCAGGGAGCTTCTCCCCAAAATGAAAAGCAACATGTAAAAGCAAGACTCAATCATCCAGGCCAAATGAAACAAACTTGAATAAACGTTGGTCCAATTGCCATGATGTAACCTTTTTAGATACTCTTGGCCTGGAGTCTTCATTTACGTAAAGTTATGTTCCCTACAGACAATATGTTAACTTTCATAGATCAGCCCAACATCCATTTCTAACCTTAGCATGTGAGTTGTCGGCCACAGACCCAGGGTTCAAAATTACTGGTTTGTTGCTCAGCCTATGCAAAGGAATCTTAGAGTCAAATTAGATAAGGTTCAAAGCATTCAAAGGAATGGTTGGTTGGTTGGTTGGTTGGTTGACTGAACCATACCTATAACTGCCCATCCCACAGCAGAAAGGGGACAGTGCACCAAGAGTGAAAACCAAAAAAGGCCGGGGGCCCTTTTGAAGCCAAATGAAGCCACCCACCCCCGTACTGATGCGACTGACTCACTTGTCCTCTTTCTTCCAGGCCCTTCCCTTCAGAGGAGACTACCGAAAATGAGGATGATGTTTACCGCAGTTTGGAAGAACTGGCGGAGTAAGTCTCCTTGCAAGGGTGACCTGAAGGCCCTCAAGCCAAGCTGGCTGCTGCACCAGTCATGTCCCCGGCCGGGTTAGGAGTTCGGGACAGGCATTCTTCTGCAAAGTGTTTGCATGCTCTCACTGAGATCAGCCCCTCTCTTGGGAGGTCTCTCTCTGGTGCTGTCACACAGAGGTCCTTTGGCGTGGGTCCCCAGGGTCACATGGCAGTCCCGGAAAGCACAGAGCGGGGCAGAGACCGTGCCATGGTTCTTTCCCTGCCCAGGTCAGCTTGGCTCTCGGCACATGGCTGGAAGAGCTGCTTGGCAAGTGGGACTGAGTGCCCTGCCCTGGCAATGGAAGCCAGCAGCCTTGGGGGCCCTTGCTTGGTCAGCAGCTGGGGTTGCCCCTCTTCTCAAGAGAGCAGGAATGTCCCCAGCCCCCTTTCCTGGCTGCTGCACTGGCAAATGTGAACCTCAAGGGGCTCCTTTGTTTTTAGTGATTGTTCTGTGAGGTCCATCTGGAAGACAGTTTAACAGTCAGTATTATAAAGGGTACATTATATAATGTAAAAGATTTTATCACAGAGATTTTATTTAATATTTAGACTTGAGTGGTGCGGTAACCTAGAGGCGGAGCTCTCACCTCACATTCAGGAGGCTGTGAGTTCAATCCTAGGTAGAGGCAGATATTTCTCTCTCTGGGCACATTGAGATTATATTTGCTGAATATAACTCCACATTGGCGACAGGAAGGGCATCTGGCCAGTAAACACTCAGCTCCCTTCAGTTGCCCGACTCCACCCCGCAAGAGATTATGGGGTCATTAAAAGACAATGATGACTTTATTTAATATTTAGATTCCACTACTACTATACTTCAAGGAGATTTATTTTGCATCAGTATTAAGTAGTGGGGTCAACTCTCCTTTAAAAGATTAGTGCTGATTACTTTGGAGTGACTATCCCCTTTGTCAGACAGCCACTGGACTTTGCCACACCCATTTTCTGGCCAAAATAGATGTTTGAGTTTTGCATCCTGGTTAATATTTTGTTATTATGGCTACACATTTAAAGGCTGCTTGTTCTCTTTCTTTATTGTTGCTGCTTTCATGAAAGAATGGTCCATAAATCAGGACAGCACCAAGAAAGGAAAATCACTTTGCTATCTATTAAATATTAATGGAAAATTAATGACTAATCATAGAAAAACAGATAAACACAATACCAGATGACCATAATTATAAAGCAGGGTTGAGTAAAAGATAAATCAGAAACTAGTCAAGGCATCATCAGTGGTAAAAGCAGGCAGATTAATTCTTAAATTACGTCTTTCCCACCATAAGAAACTCCAGCATTCTACATATTAACCCTACAGGGGAATAAGATGGTGCCTGCCCTTTGGGCCCCAGGTTTGCATTGAAATCTCGGGATTGCAGAAAACGGAAAGCAGACCCCAAGAGCAACAAGCCTTTTCCTGTCAAGCAGGGAGTTTGCCCACATGAGTGGCTGCCTCTCTCCTTGGCCAAAGCCAGAGGCAGAAAGAGTCCATTCTCCAGCCTGGAGGCCTGACTGGAGCGGCTCCTTTCTGAGACCCCTGATCTCACACACACACACACACACACACACACACACACACAGCTCCTACCACAGCTGGAACCCAGGAGCTAAGAGGCTTTGCCCTCCCCCCCTCACCCTGACGCTGAAGCCTCTGCCTTGTATTCTAGTGAGCATGATTTGGGGGAGGACATTTACGATTGCGTCCCATGTGAAGATGAAGGAGACGACATCTACGAAGACATCATCAAAGTGGAGGTGCAGCAGCCCATGGTGAGGAACCTGGGACTGGCTGAAGGGGGGAGGGAAGAATCGGGCTCCTTCATCCCCCCTCCCTTTTGGAACCCCCTCTCCCCCCTAGAAGTTGGGAGCAGGCTGGGGGAGGGGAGGTGATCCTTGGGCCTTCTTTAATCTTTTTTCCCCCTCTTCCTACCCCCTCCTCCTCTCTCCTTTCTAACTTCTTTGCTGTGAAATATTTTCCTCCTTTAGTGTCTGAGCAATTCCTGTATTCTACTCATAGATTATACTTTCTTCTGCTAAAACATTTCTCTATTCACCACTTTCCCCCCCCCATCCCTTATCCCACCCCCCGTGACTTCCCAGAGCAAAAACAGGGTATAGCATCTAACAAACATATGCTAAAATAAACTAACAAATTATAAAGTTCAAAACTCTCACATGTTCTTTAACTCCCTTGCTCCAATTCATCAACTTCCCTTTTATAAATTCTCAAAACCAATTAAATTAAATTCATTCTTCCTACTTATAAAAATTTTTTTTTCTTGATGTATAATCCGATACTTTAGCAGTCTTACAAACAGTAAAAATCATGAATAAATTCCATTTCTATACCCTTGAACATCATTCTTTTTGAACATTACTTTAATCTTGATTCCCCATCAAAGAGCTCCATTGGTTATCAAGAGTTCCTGTTCAGTGTCCTCTCCCCAACTTTTGAACAATCCTTATTGCTGACAGTGCCTCCAAGGAGGTGGAATTACTGTGGCAGAGAGAAAAAAAATGTTGCAAGAAGCTGAATTTGTAGAAAAGGCATCAAATAGGAACTGGATCACAGGATGCTCCTTTGATGCATTGTCACTTTGCCTCCAGGGTATGGCTCCGCTAACCAAATTATTTGGAGTAAGATTCATTTTGTTTTATGTACTTGGAACTTCAGATTTGCCAAGAATTAAAGAGATCCAAAGCTCTTGTTGCAAAACTATCTAAAACTGGGGGCAGGAATGAAGTTTCTTGTCTTCATGTCTCTGGAATAAGCGTGAGAATCAGCAGGAAAGGGCTTGGAGAAGGAGCATTGCAAAGCCAAAGCTGCCCATCGGCCACAAACTGAGCCCTCCCTCCTTCGGGCCACTGTAGGGAATTTGTACCTGGAAATGGGGGAGAAACAGACCCTCCATATCAGATGAACTCAAGACGGTTCTCCCTGTCAGCTCCTGGGTAGATTGCTCCTCTTTCTGAGCACCTGGAGATTTTCTCTGGTTTTTTTTGGAAGACGTTTCACTTCTCATCCAAGAAGCTTCTTCCGCTCTGACTGGATGGTGGGGAATGGAAGGATTTATACTCCTTGAAGACCGCTGGTCCTTTGCATCCTTTCAGAGGCTACTTGGAGGTTTATCTGTGTCCTCAGGGTCACCTGAGTGGTGCAAATGGGTGTGGAGCCTTCTTGGAACTATTAAAAGGACTGTGTTGTAGCTGGATATAGATGATGTCGTATCCCTCCCCCTCTGTTGAGAGAGGGCTGCTCAATTTTGACATACATGGCCTCTTTGATGCCTCTTTCAAACCAACATTCCTCTCCTCTTCCCATCCAGTCAGAGCTGAAGAAGCTTCTTGGATGAGAAATGAAACATCTTCAAAGAAAAACCAGAAAGTCCAGTTGCCTCTTGGAAAAAGCACCCTTGGGACATTGCTCACTTATCTTCAAAGGAGGGTTGCAGGGGCTTCTCTGAGGGGCAGAATCCCCCAAGATACTTCTAGCCGGCAGTGGTGGAGTAGCACCTTCTAAAGGTTTGCCCAAGAGCTCCTTTGCGTAAGGGGGTGTCTGAGGTGCCCCCCAGTTCCTTGGAGATGTGCAGAGAACGAGGCTTACTTAGCAAGATTTACTTTGCATTTCACAAAGACCTCTTACATTTCCTTCAATATTGGGAAAAAGGGAAGTTATGTGGGCAGTTATGATGTCAAACGTAACCATGCTTCACTTTGCTTGTTATCTATGCATGCTTCAGATCAGGTATATGCAGGTAAGTTTCTCACTGTAAATGAGGAGGGGTCCCTCTCCCCTTCCCGGGTCTTTGGATGCTAGAAAAATTGCTACTTAGTGGCACTGTGCCCAACATGAATACAGTCCCAAATGCCCGACGAGCTCCTGCCTCAAGAATTAAGGGTGCTGGGAGGTGCCAGGGTGTCTCCTGATCTATTTCATCCTCTTGGAAGGATTGTTTGAAATCCTTCTCTAGTTGCCTCCCAAATGGTGTTTGTAATTGCCATGAGAACCATTCCTGATGTGCCAAATTGGACTCAGCCTTTTGCATGGGCCCCTCTTCTGTCCGTTCTCCCCCCACTTCACACAATATCAAAGTTATATGCTACAGAGAGAGAAGGCAAGCAGCAGGAGAATTGGCCTCCGCTGAATATTTTGGACCCTTGCTTTGTTCATTGATAAGCCATGAGCCACAGTGGCGTAGTGGTTAGAGTGCAGTACTGTAGGCTCCTTCTGCTGACTGCTGGCTGCCTGCAATTCGGCAGTTCAAATCTCACCAGGCCCAAGGTTGATTCAGCCTTCCATCCTTCCGAGGTGGGTAAAATGAGGACCCAGTTTGTTGGGGGCAATTAGCTGACTGTAAACTGCTTAGAGAGGGCTGTAAAGCAGTATATAAGTCTAAGTGCTATTGCTATAAACCCACCTGCTCGCCAAGGCCCCTCCCCACCTTTGGACAGCTGGCCTGGCCTCATGTTGTCCAACCCTCACTCTTTTCCTCTTGGGGTATTCCTCCATCTTTCAGTAGAAAGTAATTTGGCAGTAGCCCCTCTCTGCCCCCTGCTCTTCTAATGGAGCTCTGTGAGCTTTCTGGAGATCCATCTGTCCAGATCTTCCCTGCCTTGCTGTGTCTTGCTGTTTTAGAAGATGCAGCCCAAGGTTCAGGAAGATCCTTCAACTCGATATCCAGCATCACGACCTGCCCCCCATGAGTGTTTCAGTGATGGAGATGGGGACCAGTGGAAGCCCATGGGGAGGTCCTTCCTCTCCATCCTAGGGCCACATCTGTGGGTGGAGTGGGAACAGTCCCTGCCCACCATCCCAGAGGCAGCTCAGAGTTAGGCATCCTTGACCTGAATGCTGGCCCATTCTGCCCTGGGCTTTGGGGCACCAATTTTTTGTGCTGCTTCCTATAGAAAATGGGCATGACAGAAGATGACAAGAGGAACTGCTGCTTGTTAGAAATCCAAGAAACAGAAGGGAAGTACTACAAGACGCTGGAGGAGATCGAGAAGGTGAGTGAGGGGCTCCTCAGAAAGGTCAGCCAGCATGGGCTCCTCTTTTTCAGGAGGGAAGACTCCAGCTTGCTCCCAGGTTTTTCTTCCCTAAGTGTAAAGTCTTACACGTTGGCGAGAAAAACCAAAAGTACCCCTATAGACCTGGTGAAACCAAGCTTACTAGCAGTAACTCTGAGAGGGATCTTGGAGTCTTAGTGGACAACCAGCTAAATAGGAGCCAACAGTGTGTGGCCAAAAAAGCCCACACGATCCTAAACTGCATTAACAGAAGGATACAATCAAGATCAAGGGAGGTACTACCACTTTATAAAGCCTTATTAAGGCCACAAGCTTTCAAAAAGAGACTGGACTGCCATCTGTCAGAAATGGTGTAGGGTCTCCTGCTTGGAGGGGGGTTAGACTAGATGACCTACAAAGTCTCTTCCAACTTTGTTAAACTGAGCCCTGGAGTGGAATCGCCTTACAAAGGTCAGACTTTTGCAGGTAGAAAGGAGCGTTGTAAGCAAAAAGCTGCAGCCACCTTATCATTTTGCTTTTGCAGAACTACATGAACCCATTAAGGCTGATCTTGACTCCACAAGACATGGGGGCCATATTCATCAACTTGGAGGTAACGTTCCTGTGGTTCTGCTTGGCTTTATTATCTGGGCTCTGCAGGCCAGCAGCTTCTGGTTTACAGCAAGCCCTGAGAACCAGCCACATGCAGTTTTTTGAATCCTGGTCAGTAATGACAGTTTTTTGAATCCTGGTCAGTAATGACAAACCATTCTTTCTTTTTTAAGTATGCGAGGGATCAGATTTAAAATACATTCCCAACTTCCCAATATATTTTCTTTGTTTCAGGACCTTATTAAAGTGCACTTCAACTTTCTCAGATCCATCGATGTCTCCATGATGGCTGGTGGAAGCACCTTGGCCAAAGTTTTTCTTGAATTCAAAGAAAGGTAAGCTTTCTTTGAGGGGAGCTGGGAAGGCTGAGCCCCAGGTGTTTCTAGTATTCCCTTCTAGTGGGGAGAGGAGGCACAGCCATTGTCGCTCTGCTTCTTCACAGGCTTTTGATCTACGGCGAGTACTGCAGCCGGATGGAGCACGCACAGACTACCCTGAATCATCTCATGGCCAACCGAGAGGACGTACGGCAAAAAGTTGAGGTAATCGAGAGCACTTTTCTTCATTTCTTATATTTTCTTCTTTCTATTGATTGATTGATTGATTGATTGATTGATTGATTGATTGATTGATTCGATTTATATGCTGCCCTTCTCCGGAGACTCAGGGCGGCTTACAATGTGTTAAGCAATAGCCTTCATACTTTAGTAGGGCTTTTGGCACCCCCTAAGCGGTGTTCTTTTTTTATACAAAGTCAGCTTATTGCCCCCACAATCCGGGTCCTCATTTTATCTACCTCGAAAGGATGGAAGGCTGAGTCAACCTGTTAAACTGCCGAGGCAATAATAATAATAATAATAATTAATACATTTATATGCCTCCCATCTCCCCTATAAGGTGACTTTGAAAGCAGCAAGTCCTCTCTATTTTTCGTTTATCTCATGGCTGCCTAACCAATGAAGAAAACCCATCAAAATAATAATGGTTTATGAAAAATAATTTATTAAATTATTTTAGAATTTAGAATTTTATAAGAAGAGACAAAGAAAAAAAATGAAAAGAAATCATTTCTGAGGCATTATATAAATTCGATAAATAATTTTAAGGGACCCAAGATATTGCTAGAAGTAAAAGGAATGAATATATATGAATATATATATATATATATTAAGTGTTTTTCTATCGAAGCACCTGGTCTACCCCAATATGGGAGGGAGCATACTGCTTCCCTTTTGCCTTCCAGCTCCAATCCAGGAGCCGTCAAGCAGTTGCATTCACAAATACAATTCTAGCCGCTGTTATTATATGAATAATCAAATATGTATCTTCTTTACTATAATTCTCTGGTAAAATTCCCAATAAGAATATCTCTGGTTTTAACTCTATATGTTGCTGCAACATTCCTTCTAACCGTTTTTGTATTTTCACCCAATATTGTTTTGCTTCTTTACACAACCACCACATATGATAGCATGATCCCGGCAACTGGTGACATTTCCAACACTTAGCTGATTTATCTTTAAACATCTTAGCTAATCTTTCTGGTGGCATATGCCATCTATAAACCATCTTATACAGGTTGTCTTTATAAGCTGTTGCTATTGTTAATTTATAATTTCTTTCCCAAAGTTGTTGCCATTTATCCAATTCTATGGTGTATCCGAAATTCTTTGCCCATGCTATCATTGTTTCTTTTACTTCTTTTCAACTAATTTATCATAAATTGCCAATTCACGTTGTCAAATGCCTTTTGTGCATCTAAAAATAACAACGCTGTTTCTCTTGAGTGTAGTTCATAATGTGTTTAATATAGTTTGCATATTGTCTCTAATTTGTCTTTTTGGTAAGAAGCCATTTTGATCCAAATGTATAAACTCATTTAATAATTTTTTTAATCTTTCAGCCATGATTGATGCAAAAATCTTATAATCCATATTTAATAAAGATATTGGTCTGTAATTCTTTATGTGTTGCAGATCTGCCTCTTCTTTTGGTATTAAAGTTATATATGCCTCCATCCATGAGTCTGGAATTTTAGCTTTAAATAATAGTTCATTGAATACTTGCAGCATTACATTGCTTAGTACATCTTGTAGGGTTTTATATACCTCTGCTGGTAATCCATCTGGGCCTGGTGTCTTCCCATTTTTCTGTCTTTTAATTCCCTCCATTAATTCCATCATAGATAGAGCAACATATAGAGTTAAAACCAGAGATATTCTTAATGAGAATTGTACCAGAGAAATATAGTAAAGAAGATACATATTTGATTATTCATATAATAACAGCGGCTAGAATTGTATTTGCACAAAACTGGAAAGCATATAAAATCCCATTGGAAGGAGAAATTATAAAGAAAATTTTAGAATGTGCAGAAATGAATAGATTAACATTCATTGTTTATAGAGAATAGAATAGAATAGAATAGAATAGAATAGAATAGAATAGAATAGAATAGAATTTTTTATTGGCCAAGTGTGACTGGACACACAAGGAATTATAATTTGTCTTGGTGCATTCGCTCTCGGAGTACATAAAGGAAAAGATACATTCGTCAAGAATCATAAGGTACAACACTTAATGATAGTCATTTAAGTATAAGAGATATAAATAAGAGGTGGGAGGTGGGAAGAAGAGACAATTGGTTGTATTTTAATGGAAGGTAATAAATTATTGTGATGAAAGTGGGAAATATTTACTTCTTTACACTATTTTGCTTTTTATTTGTCTTTCTCTTTTTTCCCTTTTTCTTTCTCTTCTGCACCCTTCACTCTTTTAACTTCTTTTCACTTTGTATTAGTTTTAATTGTTTTTAATCATACTTTTTCATAAAGTTACTATTAAAAGTAGCATTGCACTTTGAGCAGAGCTGCTGATGCCTCTCACCTACTTGGTGTCTGTATTTGCAAGGCTGAGGACTAGCAGCAGCTCTCTGGCCCTTTCCGAAAGATGGAGGTCAGGCAAAGCAGCGGAATTCTTCCCTTTGTATAAAGCCAGAGGGAAACTGGGGCAGAGGAGGATCAGCTAAAATCTTTCTCTTGCAGTGCTATATAGGCTAATGTGCCCAACATGCTGCTCTATTTCTGGGTAAGCAACTGTCGGAGCTGCCCCAGTCCGATCCCTTAGGAAAGAAACACCTTCAACTCCATTGGGTTAAAGCAAAAGGTTCTTTTACTAAGGATGTTGGTTGCAGTAAAGTCAAGCTGGCTCTGAAATCTGCCGTACTCAATAGATGCAAAAATAAGATGTAAGTTTGCCCCCATCCCTTTCCCCGTGACTAGTCTGTTTCTAGCCAACCGGAGCTCGCCAAGATGTTTTGTGAATTCTTGAGATGTTTGGGGTAATCTACATATTTCTCAGGGTGCTTGGCCGTAGGATGCTGGTATAAACAGGAGCCAGCTGCTCTTGTCCTTATCACCTGTCATTCCCCCCTCCCAATTTCCTATCACATACACACAAAGCTTTATTGCCCTTTCATCCTTCCCTCTTTGATCCTCCCCCCCTCTTCTTCATTTGATGGCAAGATGCCTGTGAAGCGCCAAGCTGAAGCAGTCAGACTGAGAGCAACTTTATGAAAAGCACAGAAGAAAGAGTGGGAAGTCCAGAGCAGAAGAAATTAAAGGCAAAGAAAAAAGGAAAAGGAAAAGGAAAAGGAAAAGGAAAGGAAAGGAAAGGAAAGGAAAGGAAAGGAAAGGAAAGGAAAGGAAATAGAGCTAAAACTATTTTACACCACCATTCACCATATTCCACCTCCTTTCTTCTACCACATGGAGACCCCATTTCATGTGTTGTCTGCTCTTCAGGATCTCCTCAACTCATCAGTCCCGCCATGACTTTGCCACTCTCCTCCTTCCTTTTGGCCCATTCACGCTTCCTTCTATATCCTCAGATGTGGCATGGCGTGATTAGCCTCTTGATGGCAGAAGGAAGCCATATAGATATAGAGGTTTTCTCATTGCAGTGCCCAGAAACGAAATCCATATATCAGCCAGTGCTCCCAAATTTTAGGGTTTTTCTTCTGCCTGTTCTGAGTCTTAATTAGTGGGTGGGGCTTGGTGGTAAAGTGACTGGGTGGGCATGGCCAAGTCAATGTCACTTCTTTGCCCTTTTTTAACCTACAAAACACAACACAACACAACTGGCTCACCCACAATTAAAAGCAGCTGTGCTAGACCCAAAATGGCCCCTGCAACAAGCAGGAACCTCACACAGTCACAAAAAGCCCAAAAAACCAACTTTCACACTTTACATACACAAAATTCCACATACAGCTTTGTGAGATTTTGTGTGTTTGTGTAGTTAGAGTGAAACACTACAGAAACACACAAAATCTCAGAAAGCTGCACAAATTTTATTTTATTTTATTTTATTTTTATTTTTATATAAAAGCAGCTAAATTTAAAACTTCCTAAACTTTAAATGGCTAGGTCTAAAAAAAGAACAACTAAAAAAAACCCCAATTAAATATTTTTATTTATTTATTTATTTTATTAAATTTGTATACCCCCCTACTCCCGAAGGACTGAGGGCAGTGAACAGCTCCCAAAGGAAAAAAAACTTACCCAATAGAACAGGGGTCTCCAACCTTGGCAACTTTAAGACTTGTGGACTTCAACTCCCAGAATTCCTCAGTCAGCTTTGCTGGGAGTTGAAGTCCACAAGTGCAGATAGAGCTGTTCACCGATGAGCTTGATTGCAGGTAGGGAGATTCAGTTGCTTGCTGATGCAATGGATTGCAGGTATTACAGCAAGCGCAGCAGCTAAGGTAAGCAAGCTGGAGGCTGGGGGGGGGGAGAAAAAAGAAACTTTTTTCTTTTAAATGGGTCTGACAATCCAAACTGAGTTGCCTGATTAGCAGGCAACTCAGCTGGGATCGTCAGAGCCATTTAAAAGGAAAAAAAGGCTCTGATGATCGTGCGGCTCAGCTGGGCATGGGGGGCGGTGGCAGGGATTTTTGCTACCGGTTCTCCAAACTGCCCGCCACCATTGCTACCTACTCGCCCGAGCCGGTCCGAACCGGGAACATTTCACCCCTGCCATAATCTCTTGCGGGGTAGAGTCTGGGCACCTGAATGGAACTGAGTGTTTACTGGCCAGTTGCTATTCCTGTCGCCAATGCAGAGTTTTATTCAGCAGATATATTCTCAGTGTGCCCAGAAAGAGAAATGGGATCGAATTTATTTTGCCTGCTTTAAAGTTGCTTTTCCCAGAGAAACTGAGAAGCCCAAATCCCACAAGGCCATGTGTTTCATACTTACGTGTTATTATAACTCTGGGGCTGGCCGATGCCATTTTTGGTCCTGGATTCCTAGGCTGGCAGCCCCCCCAGCAGCCTTCTTCTCTCCTAAACTTGCAGAGAAAAGGGGGATCTCATGTCTCTCTCCCCCCGCCTTGAAGTTCTGCATCAGCAAGCCCCAAAGGGGGATCAGGGCAAAGCCTTTGCATCCCTCCCAGGGCTGGAGGGTTTTCTCCAGTTCTCCAGCGGAACAGAAGAAACCGGCTCAGCCTTTGGCAGCTTGTGGTCCTGGAGCTTCCCATAGGT